ATTTTCTTAATTCTATTAATATTTTTTAAGTTGATGCAATATGTATAATACACATGCATTTTATTGTAGAACTCTTTTCCATTCATTTTATTATATTGTGTTATGATTTATCAAAACAATCTAAAATCTTAGAAGTAACTTTGATAGTTTTAGAGAAATTGATTAGATATGCTTATTAATGAACAAAATTGATAAACAGGCTGTGGTACAGCCAAAACATTATTTTTAATCTACAAAAGTATTAAAAAAAAATTGCAGATATTTTAAATATGCCCTGAGGTAACTTAATACTTTAAACAAATTCAGTTTTGTTGATCAGATGTGTTTCTTTCATATTAAATAAAATGTCGAATGAATGACGTCTCTAAGGATATAATTTTAAGTAGGATTTAAAAAAAATGAACAGCTATATGCGGCAATATTTATGCAATTCTACGGCAAGGTACAGACAGTACAGCAAAATAAATCGATCAATTGAAGGAAAAAAAAAAAAAAAAACACTGTTTGGCTAATTATACATTGCTTGTTTATTATGTCTGATAGTGTCAAGGGGGCATAGACCATATATATCCTGTTTACTACGTACATCCCATATATGGCTTCTGTAATTGTCACCTGTGTAATCCCCAACCATGTTCTGCTGACCGCATTTTTCATAAACACACCAGATAGAATCTAATTTCTCTGATTTAATTATTACACATTATATTAGAGACAATATTATTTATTAATTTATTATACATTTGAATTTATATACTTATATTGAAGTTTTTGAATCCATCTCAAACTATTGAATAAGGTGCTAAACAACCTAATAAACTTTTTAATTTTTTTCTCTAAGGCATATTTGAACATTGTTTTAACTTGTTTATTTGTGAAAAAATGAAAATATTTTAGATAAATCTTTAAGTAAGCAGGTGTAATCATGTATTCACAAATATCAATTCTTATTTAAACATGACGTTTCCTATTTGAATGCGATATATGTTTCCTATTTGAATGCTATATATCACATAAAAAATTATTTCTGTAAAATATTGTTGTTAAACTATTATCTTATTATCTATAAGAAGATATCCTAGACACATTAACTTTTGTTTAATTCATGTAAACAAAATATAAAAATATATACCGGGTCATTTGAAAGACCGTTAAAAAAATCAAATTCTTTTACAATATCAGATCCTCATTATAAACTAACTATCAGGTCAATTAAATGAATGCATGTCATATATTATTCAAACTTGTTTTATACCTGTAAAAAAAATTTAAAATATCTCAGGTCACTTAAAATCATCAGGTCGATCGAAATATAAAGTAGGGTAAAACTTTAATTAGTCCAAATATCAGGTCATTTCAAACTAAATTAATTCTAGGATTGTTGCAAATATTTATGTATTGAGGACTCTCTCTACACTGCACCCTATTTTTAGGGTACTTTTGTGTAATTAGACTGACCTACCATTTGACATACAAGTAGAATAAATTATAATCTGAACTAAATCACATAATTTGAAATAAATACAAGTATTCTAAACATTATATTAGACCAAGATAGAGTATTTGAAAACTTTATTTGCATGTATTTTATCCATTTGAGTAAGTGAAGGCAATTTTTCTTTTCTATTACTTCATTGTCTTTGAAGATTTTTCCTGAATAAAAAAGGCACGCTCCCTATATTAAAAATGAGTTAGTTAATTTCAAAATATCCTCATTTATGCTAAATAATTTTCTCAAAGTCCAAAAAACATTTTTCATCAGTGTATAGAGGGTCCTTAAATTACATGTAATAATTAAGGTTGTTTTATGGAAGAAAAAAAAATAATGTTGTGAAAACATATGAGATCATTTGAAAATTATGGAATTCCATATACGACAGCCAACTGCTTACTGCCAACTGCTCACTGCTTACTGCCAACTGTTCACTGCTTACTGCCAACTGCCACACATATTTGAATAAATTTTCATATTTATATTGATATTTATGTGAATTTCCATAAAACCAGGCGCGGATCCAGGAGGGGGAGGTTAACATCTTATGCTTCATATCTATGACTTTTCATATCAACTTAACACGGATCCGCGTTTTCTGGGGGGGGGGGGGGGAGTCCAAGGTCACTTTTAGTTGGTTTAGTATAGGTCTATACATTAAATAACTCTACAAATTCCAGGGGGTGGTCCGGAACCCCCCCTCTCCCAACGATCCCCCCCTCTAGATCCATGTATGTTAAACATAACTTATTTGGGAAAATAAAGAGATATAAATCTTTAATTTGAAAAAAATATTTCACTATAAAAATTAACGGAAAATGGAAATTTATTTTCAAAACATCTTCCCCCGCGAAACAACAGATCCTTTCTTTCAGTTTTTATTCATTCCAAAGGTTTTGTTGTCTCACCGGGGGGGGGGGGGGCACGTGTTTAAAGATTAAAAACAGGAAAATAGTCATTTTATATTACAAATTTTAAATGCATGAGATCACAAATAAAAATTGTACTTTTTCACTTTAACAATCTCATATGTTAAATTTTACATAAGTTAAAACATACGGTGAGATTTAAGAGTCATTTATCCATTTTCATGAGTATTTGAAAATGGTGATGTTTTCAGCCTGATTTCAATTGATAAAATTTTCTACCCCCTTATGAAAGGAGTTGTAAATAAGAGCAATTAACTTTTTGTCACTGGTTTTTAAAATTAGTACATAATACTAATGAACTTTCCGTTGCATTCAAACAAGTTTTTATGTCCAAATTGCCATTTATATTGAATTAAATTGATGAAAAATGTAGGCGGGAATCGAGAGTTAGTGTGCGTAGTTCTTACAATAATAATAAATTTGTTGGATTTAGGAATTTTTAAACTGTAAAGGCGAGGAAGGAGTAAATCGGAAGAAGGGGGTGTTTCCTCTTAAAAATAAAACATTTAATTTCTGCATTTTGCTGCAGGCAAATAATTTGATAGCTTTTTTTGATGCGGGTAAAAGGGGGGGGGGGGGTCACATACGACAAAAGAACAAACTTTAAAAAGGGTCTTGAGTAACATTTGTTGGTATGTGTATTTGTAATAGAAATATTACTGAAAGATATAATAACAAATAACTTTTGCGTAGTTTAAAATATCGAGTAATATCTTTCGGGATTTTCATTTTCTTGGTAATAAAATGACTATTTTCCTGTTTTTAATCTTCAAAAACACCCCCCCCCTCCGTGAGACAACAAAACCTTTGGAATGAATAAAACTGAAAAAGGATCTGTTGTTTCGCGGGGGAAAATGTTTTGAAAATAAATTTCTATTTTCCGTTAATTTCTATAGTGAAATATTTTCTCAAATTAAAGATCTATATCTCTTCGTTTTCACATGGATCTAGAGGGGAGGAGGGGGGTCGGTGGGAGGGGGTGGGTGGGTGTCCGGACCACCCCCTGGAATTTGTAGAGTTATTTAATGTATATACTAAACCAACTAAAAGCCACGATGACCTTGGACCCCCCCCCCCCCTAGAAAACGTGGATCCGTGTTAAGTTGATATGAAAAGTCATAGATATAAAGCATAAGATGTCAACCCCTAACCCCCCCCCCCCCCACAGAAAGAGGTTTTTTACGTTTAGGAAAGGAGTTTACGTTTTTGTTTTTTGTTTTTTTTGTCAAGAAATTTCTGGGTTGGATTTTTTTTTTTACTGGGGTGGACCCCTCCTGTAAAAAAAATCCTGGATCCGCGCCTGGTTTTATGAAAATTCACATAAATATCAATATAAATATGAAAAATTATTCAAATATGTGTGGCAGTTGGCAGTAAGCAGTAAGCAGTTGGCAGTAAGCAGTTGGCTGTCGTATATGGAATTCCATAGAAAATAAAAAAAAGTTTTTTTTTTTTTTTTTTTTTTTTAAAAATATCAGGGTTTTGGATGTGTGGAAAATGAGATCAAGTTATTATATATTGCAAATTTTTCTTCCATTGTTGCCAATAATGATTTTCAAATATTCAGATATGCTTTATTTATATAAATACGAACTTAAATTGTTTTAAAAGATATTAAACAATCAAGTAATTCCAAATTATCAGGTCATCAGATTAGGTATTGGGTCATTTCAAAATATCAGCTAGGTCATCCATTTATTTTACTATTATAATAAAATGCTAAGAATCATATCCTCTAAAAGTGTACATATAAGTACTATAAGTACAAGTATAGAATCATCAAATATACGTAATCAATAATTCCCCAAATAAAATATAAAGCTTAAGTTATATGTGATTTTTATCATCAGGTCTTTAAAGATTGTTCTGTATATTTAATTTATAATCATATGCATGCATGTTTTACATGATATCAATATGCTTCTTTATATAGGCCTACATTTTCTCAGAAATATATTGTTTTTCAATATATTATTTTTTATAATATCTAAGGTAAGGTTATATAACTTAAGATTTTCATTGAAGCAAGTAATTCAATCAAGCATTCACACACATTTACATGTAAGTCATGTCAATTAGGGCATTCAGGAATCGGGACATTATACCCCTTGAAACTTCAAAAGTGATTCTGAACAAAATATAGTAGATATTTTCTCCCACACTTAATTAAACTACTTTCATATATCATCCTTAAAAGATATTTAATCAAATTGTAATATTTAAATTATGCTGAATTGGGTTTATTAGCAGTTTTTATACAATCAGGTCATTATACCCCAAAATCAGGACATTATACCACTGTCAATTTTCTCTTTCAAATAAAACATAAAATATTTTTATTTAGCATTTTCTTCATGATTCTAATAGAGAATGATAATATTCATCATTTCCAATAAAAATAATATTGTTTGTGCACATAAAAACTCTTTATTTCATTATATATATATAATCAGGTCAATCAGGGCATTATACTATCAGGGCATTATACCTTTCCTAGATCTACTCCTTTTCTACTTATTCGGAAATAAATGATGTGTGGACTCGGTTCTAGATAACAGTAGCATATTTCGGTTTCCTGTATTCCGCAAGGCGTACTTCTTGCCCTGTGCATTTTGCAGACGAATACGGATATGGGTAAAACAAATCCATATAAAGATTTTGTGTCGGGTGGAGTCGGTGGAGTTTGCTTGGTTGTTGCTGGACATCCGCTAGATACTATCAAGGTAATTTCTTACTGCTTAAAGATATAACCTGTCTTTCTCTTGGAAACAAACACTGTCAGGTACAAAGTTCGAAGTTAGCAGTCTGGTCGAATACTCAAACAGGAGTATACCCTCAGACGAGGGGTTTTTCCGTCCCATCATGCAATGCACAAGAACGGTAACTCTTGTCGTATCAAATATAAACAAGCTTGCCTTTAATAATATGTAGCGACGGAAAAGCAACGGGCGATAACTCTAATATTTGCTAAATTTGTGTTGTCAAAAAATGGCGTGAAAAATAAACGATCGGGTGGTCGTGTGTTACGGACTGATACAGTAAGACGATGAAATGTACAGTCGCAAAAGTTTTTCGGAAACCTTCTTGAAGTATTACTGCAAGTGTATATCGATGAAAATAAATAATTTGCATCAATTCGGTGGGAAAAAAATAATAATGAAATATTCGTTTCAAGAGAAAAAATTGAATTTCAGAATATACACCAAGAAAACCTGATTATAATAAAACAGAAAAGTACTTTCTATGAGAATTCAATCTAAAAATAATTTTAAATCCTTGTATTCAACACCAAATCACGTTTGATCACATGGACTATTTTTGCCTGACAGGGTTATTTGCCCTTTGCTGTCATTAAGGAAAACGAAAGCATGAGGGGTTTGTAGGATTTTAGTAAATTGCGAGGTGCCAAATGGTCATAACATCATGTGAATATCTTGCTTTCAACAATTTAGTTTATTTTGACTTTGTAAGGTGATGTACGACGATGAGGGTCATATTCAGCGTCACATTTCAGTGCCGTCTGCTTTTCACAAGCTAAAATAATTGTATTAAAAATTGGAGATTGAAAGTTTCTAAATACACCGGTACACTCACAGAAATGGCCTATAACTTACTTGGTAGTTCCATTTATCATTAACCCCCTCCCCCTTCAAGCCAAGCCAACTCAACAACCCTTAAGTTATCTGTAACTAGATCAATTTGTTTTACTTCATAAAAATAATTCATCAATACTTCAAATAAAATTTAGAGAAACCAAAAGAAATCAAGCAGAACTTTGTACATCACATCTTACTGAAAGAAACAACATCTGTAATGTATAAGTAGGTTAAGTGAGAAATTATGGGATTGAGAATTGGGTCATTTAACTTCTTTAACATAAATATTCCAATACATAAATTTATGGATGACGATAAAACATATCTTCATTTTGTGCCTCATGCAATACTCTCTTGAATAATTATTATGTATAGCCAGTTTAGCTTTTCTTGTAACTTTCTAATACTAAAATAAAATGTGTGCGAGTTTGATGTGTATGTAAAAAATTTGTGGATTTATTAACTTCTATTTTACTTGCTGAGGCTTAATTATGATGCACTTACAGAATTTCTGATCATGATATATTAAGTTTCATAACTTTAAACCTAATCCTTTTGCTTTATCAAAGTAATCATTATTTGTGAAAAACATCTTGTTCCCCCTAGTAAGAATTCTATTCCTAATTTTTTATTGTGTATGTACCCCCTCCCTTTTTCGGGATGGGGGGGGGGGGATATTTTTAAGAAAAAAATTTATTTTGGCAATTCTGATGCTGAATTTACAAAGAAATCTAGCTGGAGAAATATTAAGTTTTTGATATTGATATTTCTCATACTTTTTATCAAGCAAAGAATGAAAAAGATAAAGTGTTACCACATTTCGAATTCTGGCAACCATGTAATATTTGTTTTTCATGAGATTATATACACTGGAAAACAATTTAAATATATATTTTTTGTTTATATAATTGTCTTAAAGCACTTTGCATTAAATAAAGAATTGTAGCTAAGTAGGTTTTGTCTCTTTGATTTTTTTAAAAAATGGCAACACTTTTTGTTTCAAGATGTGAAAAAATGAAAACAAAAAATAATCATAACTTTTTTATTTTTCAACCAATTTCAAAAAATGAAACTGTTTTGGAAATGGTTTTGAAGGCTCTTAAATATAAAGTGTTGCTTTTTAAATTAAGAAGTGCTTTTAAAAATCATGTTCCATAGCTACATGTATAATATGTTAGACGGTACGACCGCATCCTCACTAGCAATGCCACATGAATTTTTTTACCTTTTCTAAAACAGTTTTTCTGCATGTTTCTTTCATTAGTTGATCAAATAAAACTTATTACAGTTTATTTGAACTTAATAACTTCAAAATTGACAAAGTTATGGGTATGTGAACATTTGAAATATTTGTAACCAATTTTAGGCTCGATTTAGAAAGGAAGAAAAAGTAACCAATGTCTAAAACTTTTTTATTTATTGATGTTTCTTCTTCAAAATTTCAGGATTTCTTCAATAGATTATAAGCTCAAAGAAAAAACTAATAAAGTATGAATTTACAGTCTATAAATGACATAATTAAGCTAATTAGCTGATGCTTCATCAAGAAAATCTGCCACTTATATTTTGTTTTCCCAAAATCAGTCAATGGAACTTGAATCTTCTTTCTAAAACATTAATGATACTTAGTGTAATGCCCTGTTCACACGGAGAGTTTAATTCGCAGTAAATTAATGCGAAGTAAAATGATGCGAATTAAACCAGGGATTTATCAGCCTATTTTGGGAAATGCCATTTTTGGGGAATTGGGAAAAAATTATCGGCTTTTTGATGAAATTGGGAAAAATTAAAAATCTTGCTTAATTCATGTATTCAGGTGTAATTCATTTAATATTTCAGCATGAACTCTAATTTGGGCAACCAAACAGACAATTATATATGATCCAACTTCATACAAGATCAATTATGAATAACAGACTAATAAAAGTAAAATTGACTTCAATGAGTATTAAGTGTTTATACAACTTAGGGTAGTACATGTGTGTATGAGATTCCAATTTAGGTCATTACAGAATCTGTTTCTGGAAAATAGAAACCTTCTGCAAGTATATATTTTCTCAAAGTCCTCTTTAATATGTATTAATGCATTGAAAATATATTTTTCTATTTGAAATAATGCCTACAGTCCTTACCATTTACTCGTAGATCAATTGAGTATGTAGAAATAACTTAATAAATCTATATAATTACACAATATCACGATTTTTAGAAAAACGGAGGAAATTCGGATTAAAAGTTGGCGATGTTTTTACAGTGTTTTTAAACGTGTTATGACTGTAGCTTTGCTAAATGACTTAAATAAATGAAAATTACAATCTGACAATTTTCCTTGTGTTTTTCCAAGATAATTAAATATAAAAGCATTGTTCACCAATTGGGAAAAAATACTGCCAAATTGGGAAAAACTGAACTCATTTTCAATTGGGAATGGGGCCGAATTTCGGCCCCCGAGAAGGTACTGATAAATCCCTGTAAACTAATGCAAATTAAATTGCGTTCACACGACAGCTAATGCGAAGTAAACTAATGCGAATTAAAATTTTATTTCTACTGTAAGGCTATTCAGTAAGGCTATTATGACGTCATTTGCAAATCACGTCACCTTATGTACAGCAGATATACATTTGACATAATTTCATAGTGTCTGTACAGTTTTTAGTGATTAACATAGTTTTCCTTTGTTTTCCACTCAAAAATAGCACAAATACCTATAGTTGACCACCGACATGTGGCATATGACTTAATTCTGCCCTTATGCATGCATCAAAATTTAATTCAAATTAGCTTCGCTCAGCGTTCACATGGAGCTAATGCGAAGTAATTTAATGCGCAGAAAACTAATTTGAATTAAACTAATTCGCATTAAATTCTCCGTGTGTACGCGGATCAAATTTAATTCGCAGTAACTTACGTTTAATTCGAATTAAACTCTCCGTGTGAACAGGGCATTAAACATTTTCCTTTTAATACACAACCTCAATTCATACAATTAAAAGTGCAATGCTAATTAATTTCCTGTATAAAAAGTGCAATACTAATTAATTTCTTGTAATTCTCAAAAGAAGTATAATAAAAACAAATACAAACAATAGCAATTTTTTAATAATAAAATTATTTTTTTTAATACTTACCAAGTCAAGGTAATTCTAAAATTATGGAGGAAACCAGAAATGTATCTATAGATATCTTCTATCATGGAAAACTTATGGAACCTACAAGTAAAAAAAAAAATGTTATTACTTAAAATAAAAAGGAAATTTTGTATGGATCAAATTTCATTAAATATGCAGTCAATATATATTTTTATTTTTATATTTCCACATAGAATTTTAATTTTAAACAATTAGATATCTCATTATTGACATAACAATAATATATTAGAACAAATATTAGAATTTTTAATTAAATGAAAAAATATGTAAATAAATCATATTATTGACTTTATAATAAATTAGCCATATAAAAATGAAGAGGGAACAGTAGACACTCTTGTGTTTGATGTAAATTTTCTCTGTCTGAAGATGTAAATTATAGATTTTTAGTCACAAAAACTTGTCTTCTGAGAGGACATGCTATAAAAATTCACTACCTGTGAGAACATGCAATAGTAAAACAAATGTAAAACACTAAGGCTTTTTTAACTGAAGATCCTTACACATAAAAAAGGACTTGACTTTGCCAAACAAAAATATTGGAGTATATCCTGAATAATTAACTACAAAGAACTCTACAGAACAATTTCATTAAACTAACTGTGAATCAGTCTCACTCTCCTCTGTATCCGAAAATATTTGTCCACTAAAAATTAATTTAAAATTGACTTCAGCTGTGATAAATTCATGTGTAAACTATAATATAATTGTATAACGTACTGCCTTGAATTGTTCAAGTTAGTTAAAATATTGTCATTTCCACTTTTATATCACTTCTTAATTGTTTGCAATCATTTTTTGACACATATTTTATTGTTATCAGCTGCCAGGATGGAGTTATTGTTCTTGGAATTTCCGTGGCAGCACAAAAAAGTCTATTTTCCCCACTATTACGCTTCATTCTAAGACAAACTTGTTTTGATATGTTCACTTATGTATGTAAACAACATTTTGATATGCATTACATGTGTGTAT